TTACTGCAGCTTTTCTATTGTTGGTATTGTGTTGGTATAGTTGTGCTGAGGTGAATATCACGTATGTTAGTATATTTTCGTGCTTATCGACCTTTGCATGGTCAGTATCAATCATCATCATCTTGTAACACTACGTGTGGTTGGGTCACTATTGCATTTTCCATGTTTGTAGTAAAAGTGGTTCATAGTTGCCAGTGTGCTGGGTAATGATGGTCAGCAGTTGCACAACAGGATACTGATATACACTGATATACACTGATATACACTGATATACCGAGGGTGTAGGTGGGAAGAAATGCTGCCTGTCTTGAGAAATCACTGGTCTGATTTAACAAAGTAGTCATATTTGGTAAAACTTTTGTCTGAATATAGCTTTGTGTGTTATGAGTACATCATGTTGTGTTCATATTACAATATGCATAACATAAATATGAATTTAAAAAACAGAACACAACAGCATGGATGGTGAAATGGATGTGTGCACATGCATACACACCCACTTATGCACTCACTTACTCTTCACATATTTACACGCACGTATACATACATACATACACACATACATACACGCTCACACACACACACAGTGAGAGAGAGAGTGAGAGAGTTCTGATAGCTTGCCATTTTTTTTACATCTATTGCAGATACACAGAAAGCAGTCCATAAAGAATGCCTTGGGAAACCAATTCAGTCTGTTCCATCAAAACGTAAGTGAGACTGTTTGCTCAAGTATTTTTCTTGTCAACTATAAGACATTCAGAGCACAAATTGCAAAAATACGAGTTTGCAGAATTTGTGTTTTGTTTTTGCCATTATATGGTAGTTATTGATAGGTGTGAGTTGGTTGAGGGTCTGTGCTCCATTGGGGTTAGAAAGAGAGAAGAAGAAGAATTATAGTGTTGCGTTAATTAGTGAAAATATCAATTCACAAAATACATTGCCCATTGTGAGATCGGACATCTGCAATGAAAATATAAGTTCATAAAAGTATGTTGGTATATTGTCTAAGAAAGTGATACATTATTCATGCAAGTGATACTTATTCATGCAAGTGATACATTATTCATGCAAGTGATACATTATTCATGCAAGTGATGCATTATTCATGCATGTGATACGTTATTCATGCAAGTGATACATTATTCATGCAAGTGATTCATTATTCATGCAAGTGATACGTTATTCATGCAAGTGATACATTATTCATGCAAGTGATACATTGTTCATGCAAGTGATACGTTATTCATGCAAGTGATACGTTATTCATGCAAGTGATACATTATTCATGCAAGTGATACATTATTCATGCAAGTGATACATTATTCATGCAAGTGATACATTATCCATTCAAGTGATACATTATCCATGCAAGGGATACATTATCCATGCAAGGGATACATTATTCATGCAAGTGATACATTATTCATGCAAGTGATACATTATTCATGCAAGTGATACATTATTCATACAAGTGATACATTATTCATGCAAGTGATACATTATTCATGCAAGTGATACATTATTCATGCAAGTGATACATTATTCATGCAAGTGATACGTTATTCATGCAAGTGATACATTATTCATGCAAGTGATACATTATTCATGCAAGTGATACATTATCCATTCAAGGGATACATTATCCATGCAAGGGATACATTATCCATGCAAGGGATACATTATTCATGCAAGTGATACATTATTCATGCAAGTGATACATTATTCATGCAAGTGATGCATCATTCATGCAAGTGATACATTATTCATGCAAGTGATACATTATTCATGCAAGCAATACATTATTCATGCAAGCAATACATTAATAATGCAAGCGATACATTGTTAATGCAAGTGATACATTATTCATGCAAGTGATACATTGTTTATGCAAGTGATACATTGTTTATGCAAGTGATACATTGTTCATGCCAGTGATACATTATTCATGCCAGTGATACATTGTTCATGCAAGTGATACATTGTTCATGCAAGTGATACATTATTCATGCAAGTGATACATTATTCATGCAAGTGATACGCTATTCATGCAAGTGATACGCTATTCATGCAAGTGATACGTTGTTCATGCAAGTGATACATTGTTCATGCAAGTGATACATTATTCATGCAAGTGATACATTATTCATGCAAGTGATACGTTATTCATGCAAGTGATACGTTATTCATGCAAGTGATACATTATTCATGCAAGTGATACATTATTCATGCAAGTGATACATTGTTCATGCAAGTGATACATTGTTCATGCAAGTGATACATTGTTCTTGCAAGTGATACATTATTCTTGCAAGTGACACATTATTCTTGCAAGTGATACATTGTTCATGCAAGTGATACATTGTTCATGCAAGTGTTACATTGTTCATGCAAGTGATACATTGTTCATGCAAGTAATACATTGTTCATGCAAGTGATACATTGTTCATGCAAGTGATACATTGTTCATGCAAGTGATACATTGTTCATGCAAGTGATACATTGTTCATGCAAGTGATACATTGTTCATGCAAGTGATACTTTATTCATGCAAGTGATACATTATTCATGCAAGTGATACATTATTCATGCAAACAAGCTGGTAGTGTGTGTTAAGACACTAATACATTAAACCTGAATATATAAGTTTACAGAAAAATATGTTGGTGCATGAAGATAGTTTGTACATTAATCATAAAAACATCAGCTCGTAGAAGCATGCAGTTGATGAGGTTAAGACTAATGTATTTGTCATGCAAATATAAGTTCTCAGACATTTATTGTTGGTGCATGAAGATAGTTTGTACATTACTGATGAAACACATTAGCTAATAGAAGTATTCGGTTGGCCCCATTAATACAGTAGTGCAATAATCATGAAAATATGTGAGTTAGTTGCATTTCCTTTACAGGACATTGCAGAACCAAACCCAGCAAATGTATATCTAGTTGTTTGCCATTGCTTTCTGGACGGTCGGCTTCTTGATACCACTGTCGAAACCAACGCAAGGCCCGCAGCTGGAATTGAACCCAGCATGTTCACATGAATGAAACGCACCGAGATAATATGTCACATAAACATTTGGTGACCAGTCTAATGTAGACAGGACTAGTCTAATCTAGACAGGACTAGTCTAATGCAGACAGGACTAGTATAATGTAGACAGGACTAGTCTAATGTAGACAGGACCAGTCTAATGTAGACAGGACCAGTCTAATGTAGACAGGACCAGTCTAATGTAGACAGACAGGACTAGTCTAATATAGACAGGACTAGTCTAATGTAGACAGACAGGACTAGTCTAATATAGACAGGACTAGTCTAATATAGACAGGACCAGTCTAAAGTAGACAGCAGCAATCATCAGAATAATGTTCTTTTAAAACTGTTGAGTCACCTGTGAATTATTATAACATTTTGTTTGTATGTTTGCAGCACCAGCCAGACCACCAAGAAATGGTAAGCTACAAGTAGTGAAGTCCCTATCTCTGTTGCTACAAGCCTGATCTCTTATGTTAAAACCGCAGCAGAACAAGCAGTCACACATACAGTAATAATGTTAGACCAGCGGTTTACAAACTGCATTGAACGCCCCCTTTCACAAGGGTTGCTAAAGACCATCACAAAACATATATTCATTGAAGTTATGATGTAGTGACGAAAATAATTGTAGTATGGTTGGGGGTCGCCACAATATGAGGAACCGTATTAAAGGGTCACGGCATTAGCAAGGTTTAGAACCACTATTTTAGACCGTGCATGTGCTCCAAAAATTCACAGCAGATAGCCGACTCTCTGGATGGGTAGATAAGTGTGCAAAAGTCACACGTAACTTCAATGAAAAAAGCTCACCTTTCCTCACCTGGGTCTACACACCTGGGCGTGTCAGAGTTAAAGGTAATGAATGAGCAGACCAGCTGGCAGGTAATGCACTAGTACATAAGGGACTAAAGTAACGGACATCGCTGACATCATCCACACTGTACGGGGTAAGCTGTTGGATAGTGATGATGAATCTCTTGTTTGTTTTTGTCCATCACAAGTGATGAATAAAATGTATGAATGAAAGAGAGATGTGGATGATGAATTAATTCTAAGTGAGGAAGAGTTGGGCAGTATCATTAGCCTCACCTCTTCATCTGGATCCAGAGGCAGTACAAGTGGAGACAACTGAAAATGAAGTCAGGTGCAGTGGATGGCCAGGTTGTATATGTGTCTGTATTTCACAATTGAAGCAGCGACAACGTTCCACAAGATGATACTTTTATGTAACAGTTTTTCTGACTGGATGTCATAACGCTTAAGATGTTACAGCCTGTAAAGTGTAGTAATATTGTAAGGTACTAAGTATGTCATAGGAGGCAACCAGGGAAGGGTTGGCATAGGATTGGCTCCCTTATGCTGTATAATCTTTAGTTTTGCAAATCCAGTAAAATGAACGAACAGGTCTGTAACAGGCTTGGGGTGAGTCAGCTAAAGAGTCTATACTCTACTAAAAGAGAGAGAAAGAGTAACAAAAGATTTAGAATATATCAAAACAAAATAGATGTAGAGAGAGAGTGAAAGAACAAACTTTATTTTCAGAGGGTTACAAATTGGGCTCGCAGGCCCGACTGACATTCGGCCCTTTAAAGCACTAATTTTTCAGAGTACCAGTGCCTGTTATCAATAATACATGTTATGGATATAATAAAGAAATATGCATTATAGAATAATGCATACACACATCATGTGTACACAATCTTACACACTCACACACATGTATATATACTCTTACATTCTTATACATGCACATTCATATACAGACATACCTAATGCATACATACATACACAAACAGAAAAGAGAGAGAGAGGGGGGGGGGGGGGACACAAATGTGTGAGTCAATATGAATGTGAGGGAAGAGAGAGAGAGAGAGAGAGAGAGTTGAGGAGATGAAGGAATGAGTATCTACCACATAGCTACATTAGTCTTGTTCAGTAACCACATACCGCTGTGTTTCAGTGATTAAAGTTATAGCAGAGAAGCAATACAGCCGAGGTAGCCCTCAGCCGCCTAGTTCCCTGAAGCCTGCCCTTTATTTTTCTAAAGATGATGTCATAGATGTCGTTTCAAAGTATGATGATAACTGGTGGTTGGTAAGTACCGTTGTTTATGTTTGTGTATCTGGAAAGTTTTCTTCCTCATGTGGGTCACTGTTGTTTATGTTTGTTATTCTGGAAAGTTTTCTTCCTCATGTGGGTCACCGTTGTTTATGTCTGTGTATCTGGAAAGTTTTCTTCCTCATGTGGGTCACCGTTGTTTATGTCTGTGTATCTGGAAAGTTTTCTTCCTCATGTGGGTCACCGTTGTTTATGTCTGTGTTTCTGGAAAGTTTTCTTCCTCATGTGGGTCACCGTTGTTTATGTCTGTGTATCTGGAAAGTTTTTCTTCCTTATGTGGTCACGTTGTTTATGTTTGTTGTATCTGGAAAGTTTTCTTCCTCATGTGGGTCCACCGTTGTTTAATGTCTGTGTATCTGGAAAGTTTTCTTCCTCATGTGGGTCACCGTTGTTTATGTCGGTGTTTCTGGAAAGTTTTCTTCTCATGTGGGTCACCGTTGTTTATATGTCTGTGTTCTGGAAAGTTTTCTTCCTCATGTGGGTCACCGTTGTTTATGTCTGTGTATCTGGAAAGTTTTCTTCCTCATGTGGGTCACCGTTGTTTATGTCTGTGTTTCTGGAAAGTTTTCTTCCTCATGTGGGTCACCGTTGTTTATGTCTGTGTATCTGGTAAGTTTTCTTCCTTATGTGGGTCACCGTTGTTTATGTCTGTGTATCTGGAAAGTTTTCTTCCTCATGTGGGTCACCGTTGTTTATGTCTGTGTATCTGGAAAGTTTTCTTCCTCATGTGGGTCACCGTTGTTTATATCTGTGTTTCTGGAAAGTTTTCTTCCTCATGTGGGTCACCGTTGTTTATGCTTGTGTATCTGGAAAGTTTTCTTCCTCATGTGGGTCACCCTTGTTTGTGTTTGTTATTCTGGAAAGTTTTCTTCCTTATGTGGGTCACCGTTGTTTATGTTTGTGTTTCTGGAAAGTTTTCTTCCTCATGTGGGTCACCGTTGTTTATGTTTGTGTATCTGGAAAGTTTTCTTCCTTATGTGGGTCACCCTTGTTTGTGTTTGTTATTCTGGAAAGTTTTCTTCACCATTGTTTGCGTTTGTTCTTCTGGGAAGTTTTCTTCCTCATGTGGGTCACCGTTGTTTGTGTTTGTTCTTCTGGAAAGTTTTCTTCCTTATGTGGGTCACCCTTGTTTGTGTTTGTTATTCTGGAAAGTTTTCTTCCTCATGTGGGTCACCCTTGTTTGTGTTTGTTCTTCTGGAAAGTTTTCTTCCTCATTTGGGTCACTGTTGTTTATGTCTGTGTATCTGGAAAGTTTTCTTCCTCGTGTGGGTCACCGTTGTTTATGTCTGTGTATCTGGAAAGTTTTTTTCCTCATGTGGGTCACCGTTGTTTATGTCTGTGTTTCTGGAAAGTTTTCTTCCTCATGTGGGTCACCGTTGTTTATGTCTGTGTATCTGGAAAGTTTTCTTCCTCATGTGGGTCACCGTTGTTTATGTCTGTGTTTCTGGAAAGTTTTCTTCCTCATGTCGGTCACCATTGTTTATGTCTGTGTATCTGGAAAGTTTTCTTCCTCATGTGGGTCACCGTTGTTTATGTCTGTGTATCTGGAAAGTTTTCTTCCTCAAGTGGGTCACCGTTGTTTATGTCTGTGTATCTGGAAAGTTTTCTTCCTCATGTGGGTCACCGTTGTTTATGTCTGTGTATCTGGAAAGTTTTCTTCCTCATGTGGGTCACCGTTGTTTATGTTTGTGTATCTGGAAAGTTTTCTTCCTTATGTGGGTCACCCTTGTTTGTGTTTGTTATTCTGGAAAGTTTTCTTCACCATTGTTTGTGTTTGTTCTTCTGGGAAGTTTTCTTCCTCATGTGGGTCACCGTTGTTTGTGTTTGTTCTTCTGGAAAGTTTTCTTCCTCATGTGGGTCACCCTTGTTTGTGTTTGTTCTTCTGGAAAGTTTTCTTCCTCATTTGGGTCACTGTTGTTTATGTTTGTTATTCTGGAAAGTTTTCTTCCTCATGTGGGTCACCGTTGTTTATGTTTATTCTTCTGGAAAGTTTTTTTCTTTCTTATGTGGGTCCCATTACCCCCGTTTTTTTAAATAAGGAAAAGAGAATAGATCCGCTGGCCCTTGAACAAGCATGTCTTAAGAGACAACTAATTAAAGGTTTACTTCTTTCGTCTTCACATTTACTTGCTGTAAACTCTGGCTGAGATTTTAGGTTGTTGATCCACTTCTGGACTTTAATCTTGTCCCAGAACTTAAGTTTTGCATTCACATCTTTTTTACTTATTTCCATTTTTCTATGCCGACAGCTGGTTCCTGGCCTCTCAGGCTGATGCACTCTGACTTAGAAGGAAACATCCCTAATAGTCGAGTCTTACAAAATGCTTGTTCGATAGCAGAGGATCTAACAACCCCCCACCCAGTACCCATATGGGAAAAGGGTTTGCTTAAATTTGATTGGATGTGTTAGGACCAAAAGTACAGATATTGCAACCTAGCTGTAAACTGTGACACATTGTGCCAACCACCTAGGGGCAAACACAGAAGAAGAATACGCCATTTCCTTGGGAATGTCTGCAGGGAAGTGGTCACGTCCTTTGTACGTTCTCCGAATGTCATGGATTTGTTAGCTGCTCAGTCAAACCAGGAACGCAGTATTTTAGGACAGTGATTCCCAAACTGCGCCGCTGAGCCCCGGGGAGCTGCGACCTCTTCACAGGGGCACCACAAATTTTTCGAAGATACTCAAGTTTTTTTTTTTTTTTAAATCTCTTACATACGAATAGAAGCCATACTTTTACTTGGGTTAGGGCGCTGTTGAAACATTTTGATTGAAAAAAGGTGCCACAACTAATGAAAGTTTGAGAAACACTGTTTTAGGAGATCCATGAAAGCCGTTATAGGAGTTGTAGTGTTCGTGTTCCATTTACGGCAGATGGCTAGCTGATCAGGGAAGAGCAATTGTAGCAAAGGCAATAAAACCTGGTGCAATGAAGTTATTATTCTCATTTTTTAATTGTCATGTCTAATATTTTCATGCTCAAGATGCTTCTAAAATCCTGTGTCCACCATTGTGCTGGCCCTTCCCCTTCTTCCAGTTTTATTGAGAGAACAACACACCAGTATAAACAGGAAACAATATCCAAAGGATGCTTACTACCCAGGACCTATTAAGTGATGCTTGCCACTCTGCACAGAGCATGCATGTCTCCATCTTTCTCAATATACTCTGCTAGTCATTTACAACCATGGCATGTGTGTACATCCAATTCCTCCAACTGGTATTTTTATCTACCTTTTGCTTTCTTGCCTTTGACTTTTCCTTCAGTGTTGTTTTTAAAGAGTTCTGTTGTTTTATGTGGACCGATATTTTGATTGTCTCTTTTGTATTTCTTTCAGCAACTGTCTTTTCACTCCCAGCCTCTTCAGACCCTATGTATTTGATTGTTTTTGCTTCCTTGAATCTTGCAGCTAGCCATATTTGTTGTAGTCCTCAGTTGGCTTTGTCACTGAGGGGACAAAGGTCAGTTTGTGCTTCATTAATCAGAACAGTGTCTGTCCAGGATGTCGCATATAGAGGTGAAGATAAGTTTTTAACACATGATGCCCAGTCCTAGTGCCTGTTCATCATTAATCAGCATATCCTTTACAAAACGTTGCTGTCTTTACGGCACACCTGCAAGTTTCTCTTTCTTCAGCCAGTTCTCCAGCCCTGTGTGCCTTCAAAGCCAGTGAATCTTTGGTGTCTCATATCAGCCTCCACAGAGATCGATCTCTGCCTCCTCTTTCAGAAACAGCATCCTCCATCACCATGTTCCCAAGACTTACAATGATGTTTTAACATGGCCAAAGTACCTCGGCTTTTGGGACTGGATGCTGTTTATGAGCCAATTCTCCTTGATGCTCAGAGCATGTGGGATGTCAGATTTTTCTCTTTCTTGGTCCATGGCATTCTAAGAATATTTCTGTATCATTTCAGTTCAAAGGCTCACATTTTTTTCCTTCAAAGATTGAGTAAGAGGCCTAGACTTACAACCATAGGTTGCCATGAACAAGATGCACAATCTCAAAATGTTTACTTGAACCCGCTTGCACGTACTATGCCATAGGTTCTTCATTCTGTTTAACATCTGCACTGCTAAAGATAACCCATAGATTGCAAGTAACATAGACATGTTTAAAATCAGATCCTTGTGCATCTTTACACTTAAAGTATGCTGTAGTGTATACACAGTCTGTGTTAAACAACTGTATAACTCTTGTTGCTTTCTGTTTTCAGGGCAGGCTGCATGGAGAGGAGGGTTATTTTCCTAAAGCTTTTGTGAAAGAAAAGAAACCGGTGAGCCACCATTTTGTTTTGTAGCTTTGTGACAGTTTGAAGTGAGAAAAGTATATTGATTCATGAAAGTAATGAAGACAACACTGTATGGTACACGAGGAGATATGGACTGCATGATAGCTTTTATAAAGGCTACTGGCCTCCTGATATAATTTTTCTGACAGAAGGATAAAAAAAAGAAGAAGCAGAAATGAAAGTTTATAAAAGTTGTTCCATCAGTAGCAGTGTGGGGGGGGGGGGGGGGGGGGGGGGGGTCCATTGCCTACAAAAACCTTGTAACTGCCCTGTAAACCACAACTAAAAAAAAAGTAAAAACAAGAGAAAAAAGTGTTGGATTTTGAAAGAAGCTGCTAGTACAGGAGATGATCAAGAAAGTTATTTAAAAAAAAAAAAAAAACTACATTTTTGCAAGAGGCCCAAGATGGGTTACAAACCCTGCGAAAGTTTGACAGAAAAACTACAACTAAAATGTAACTGTTACTTTTAGCATCAATATCATCCTGTAGTAGAACCTGTACAGAGCGTCACGCTCTTCGCAATCTGACTGAAAGAAACTCCTGCCACCCCTTCTGCTACATGCACTGCCCAAGGTGTCTCATGTGTCTGATTCCCATCTTTGTGCTGGTCGACCCTTGCCCTCCTACCATTACCCTGTCCTCCACAATTGTTTTTTCCCCCCAGTATACAGTGATGTTTGAAATGGTCAGAGTATTTCAGTTTCTGAGAGAAGATGTTGTTGTTTACAGACCAATCTTCCTTGATGTTTTGGTGTTCCGAGATGTCAGTATTCCTTTTCTTCTTGGTACTACATGATATTCTAAGAACTTTCTGTAGCATTTCAACTCAAATGGCTTGCAGGAAATAGTCTGTATACATTTAAAATCTCGACATCATAAAATAGTAAAATAGTACCTACGTGATTGAAAGAGATGTCCTAGATGCTGTCTTCTTCTTTCCATTGCCATCTTGGACAGAATACTTCATTCACATAGGTAGCTTACCGAAGGCCTGGAGAAGGAGCCTTTACCTTACTTACATTAGCAAAAAAGACTTTGTGAACCGAGGCTGTCTTTAGGAAACAGAGGATTGAAATCACTGGTGAGGGCAATCAGTGATTCTCATGTAAAGTCAGCGGTGAGGGTAATCAGTGATTCTCATGTAAAGTCAGCGGTGAGGGTAATCAGTGATTCTCATGTAAAGTCAGCGGTGAGGGCAATCAGTGATTCTCATGTACAATCAGTGGTGAGGGCAATCAGTGATTCTCATGTACAATCAGTGGTGAGGGCAATCAGTGATTCTCATGTACAATCAGTGGTGAGGTTAATCAGTGATTCTCATGTACAATCAGTGATTCTCATGTACAATCAGTGGTGAGGTTAATCAGTGATTCTCATGTACAATCAGTGATTCTCATGTACAATCAGTGGTGAGGGCAATCAGTGATTCTAATATAAAGTCAGCGGTGAGGGCAATCAGTGATTCTCATGTACAATTAACGGTGAGGGCAATCAGTGATTCTCATGTACAATCAGTGGTGAGGTTAATCAGTGATTCTCATGTCACAATTCATGCACTTTTCTTTCAGAATACACATATTTTGGGGGGGGGGGGGGGTGAGAAGGAGGTGCAGACTGGTTTTCCTGGGTAACTTTATACTTACCCAAAATTTTGGAGGTTTGGGGGGGGGGGGGGGGGTGTTGGAGCAGTAATTAAAAATGGTATTAGACCAGCTTAATGTTTGTTTAAAAAAGTGCTGCACTGTTTGGAGTAAAGCCATTTTAGCAGAGTACGAAGTAGATTTTAGTGTATTCATGCTATCACAGTGCTTTAATGTCTGTAACTTGGAAATTATCAGAGGCTAACCTGCGTAATATTAACACCTGCTAAATGTGGTGACTAAGGAAGGCCACAAAATTTAACCACTCAAGGTCATTTGAGAAACGATCCTACCAGACTGACTGTATGAACAGCACCTTGCATCACATTCGTTGAGCAGCAGGAGAAGGAATGGTTCAGTCAGTGAAAGCAATAGGGCACCCAGGGAGAAAATGGTTTGATGACATTAAAGATATTCCACACGGAAAGACAATAGCCACTGCTAGCTACCCAGCAATGGATCACAAACTGTTCCTCCCCATGACTCTTAACTCTTTCAGTCCCATGCAGCTACTACAGTTGTGAATTCTATCCTAATGATCTGTGCTTAAAATTCAATATAGGTCTGAAGGAGCTCAACAAAGGGACAAATGTAGAGAAACTTAACAATTCATATACAAATAGTCAGCACTTCCAGTACCAGTTAGGAGATGCCAGTGAAGAAATATCTGTGATTAACATTTATCAGTGCATTACTCTTAAAAAAAAAAAAAACCCCAGATGAAATACCTCATAAGAGCTGCAAGAGTTTCAAGGAAATGGTTAGTTGCGTATCCTTTACGGGACGTTGCAGAACCAACCCCAGCAGCCCCTGGCTATTGCGTGGTTTCTCTAGGCAAATTTACGTCCAGTAGTTTGCCATTTTCGAGGAAATACAGAATATGAAATCGCAAAATCAGACGAATGGAGTGATGGCATTAAGAACAGCCTTACAGAAATGAATATCAGTCTTAATAGTGCTCTTGACAGAGCTCATCAGTGAATGTTACAATCACACCCCCCCCCCCCCTTTCCCACACTTCGCTGAGGTACAAGGTGGAGGAGAAGAAGAAGAATTCCTCTCAAAATGGTAATATAACAGTAGTAGTGGCCATTGGACAATCCAAATTACTTGAGTGTGTTCTGACTAAATACAAAAAAGCAACAAAATATATTAAACTAAGAAAGGAATTCAGCAGACAGACTGACACATCTTGCATTGTTTGGGACTCAGAGAGTCAAATTTGATGTAAAAGCTGCCTGTAATTGAAAAAATAACATCAGATTGTCTTTGGAATAATCAAGAAACATATGGTAAATTAGTTTGTACTGAAGGAGCTGACAGCAAAATGGAAATTGATGATAATGGTTGCACCGGTGCTGGCGATGACTCAAAAACCTACTACAGTTTATGTGACCGTATTGGTTGTGAGGGAAAGCTGCTATGGTGTAGCAGCTAGATGCTTCCCTGGGGCCTGAAAGTTTTATGTTCAAATCTGCATAGAGCCAGATTTTTTTTTCAGAAATGACCTTGGCTTCCATGTCAAACCCAGCCTAAAAAAGATACCAGATAAAGTCATGGGAAGTAAAGGTGGCCCACACGATTTTGACCACATCACCCACTAAGTGCTGATGATTGGTCTATAAAAAATAGGTCTAGCACTGTATGCCTAATGGCATGTTATTTGTGAGAATAGCCCTATATGCCCACCAGTCCGCCTGAAGACGTTGAAAGGGGTCCTTTACTTGTGTGTGTGTGTGTGTGTGTGTGTGTGTGTGTGTGTGTGTGTGAGAGAGAGAGATAGTACACTGAACTGGTTGTCATGAGTAACTTTCTACATAACAACCTAAAGGTTCCAAAGGTGGGCCTGGAGGAAGCAGGCTTCAATTTGCAGCAAAATGGGATGAAGAGAGTGACAGGGGAAGCTGCTGGTGCTGCTGTAGGGTCATTTTCAGTGTCGCCCAGCAACACTCTGAAAAAGAGAGAGGTTCAGAGTTTTCCCTCTCAGATGTGGTATGAAGGAGTCAGTCTCTCTCTCCCCCCTCCTGCTATGCCCTCTAACAGATGTCAACAGTTTGGTTGTTGAAATCTTGAGCATAATGTTGTTTTGTGAGTGGTACAAGATGTCAGATCTGATGTTCTGAAGGTAATCTTTCAAAGGTCCTTGTGTAGACTCACTGCTTATTTACAAGCTTGTTCTACAAGGCAGTCTATTAGGGGATACCCTGGCATCTGTTGTTTTGGACAAATAGATGCTTAGCTATACACTGTATCACAGTAAGAATTATTTATTGGTGGTATAAAAAATATAAATAAATATTTAGGGATAATATAACACAGTATTAACTCTTTGAGTCCCAAGGAACGCATCATATGTTCATAGGTTCCTACCTAGAAGCCCAATGAACGTATGATGCACCGATTTTATGTCTCCCTTCACTACCCTTTGGGCCTGTGAAGCTAAACCCCCTGGGACTCAAAGAGTTAAGAAATATCAAGGGAAAGCAGAATAAATACTACAGAATAGAAACGGAGGAAAATAAGTGACTTGTATCCTTTGAGGAGGTGTTACGTTAAAACAGCATAGGATATGTTTCAAAATCAAAGGATGCAATTAAAGACATTAAAAAATATAGTTTCAAAGCCTGAACATATACAGACTTAAACTTCAAAACCTGAACATATACAAACTTACAAAAAACCTGAACATATACAAACTTAAAATAATGACATAATAATAATCAGAATCCATATTAACAGTGTGTAAAATCATTTAAAAATCAATTTGAAGTTATAGTATTCCACAGTTTGTTGCTTCTAAATGTTTCATTAATTCAGAATTGTAGGGCAGGGATCTGACATCTTGTGCCTTATTCTGCGAACTGCTGCCTCTGTAGACTAGACTAGTCATTGACTAACCCAATTTGCAGATTTCCAGTAAATCCTCAGTAAATAAGTCATTTTTAATGACATGCTTGTTAGGGGGAGCAGTTTCTCAGTATCTGAGTAAATATTAAATGTTAAATTTGTATGTTACTTCAGAAAGTGCATTTAAAAACGGTAAAAGCTCATGGGGTATTAATGGCGACCATTAGATAAAAACAGAAGTGCCGGCTCATGGAGCAGGGTGGATGTAGTGTACGAAGGCAGCAGTCGTGTGATGTTGTGTGATCTCTCTGTTGTGGTTTGTGTTTGCATTATGGATGTTTGAGTTTCTGCAGCTTGTGGATGTGACCCAATTCCCTCTCAGCTTGTGGTATAAATGTGCTGCTGGCACATCTGCATGGCTCTCAGGCTGGCTGTGGTAGATGTAGGTTACTTCAAGGGCTTGCGATATGCGTTTGTGTGTGTGTGTGTGTGTGGGGGGGGGGTATGTTATGTAGGGGAGGGGGGAATAGCTGTATGCTGTGTGGAGGGGATACGTGTGTGTTGTGTCGGAGTGTTAGGTGTGTATGTTGTGTCTGGGGTGTAGATGTGTGTGGGGAATAGGTGTGTGTGTGTTATGTATTGGGGGAATAGGTATGTTGTGTGTGGGGGGAATAGGTATGTTGTGTGTGGGGGGGGGGGAGATAGGTGTGTGTGTTGTTTAGTGGCTTACTGTGTGTGTTGTTTAGTGGCTTACTGTGTGTGTGTGTTGTTTAGTGGCTTACTGTGTGTGTGTGTTGTTTAGTGGCTTACTGTGTGTGTGTTGTTTAGTGGCTTACTATGTGTGTGTGTTGTTTAGTGGCTTACTGTGTGTGTGTGTGTTGTTTAGTGGCTTACTGTGTGTGTGTGTTGTTTAGTGGCTTACTGTGTGTGTGTTGTTTAGTGGCTTACTGTGTGTGTGTGTTGTTTAGTGGCTTACTGTGTGTGTGTGTGTTGTTTAGTGGCTTACTGTGTGTGTGTGTTGTTTAGTGGCTTACTGTGTGTGTGTTGTTTAGTGGCTTACTGTGTGTGTGTTGTTTAGTGGCTTACTGTGTGTGTGTGTTGTTTAGTGGCTTACTATGTGTGTGTGTGTTGTTTAGTGGCTTACTGTGTGTGTGTGTTGTTTAGTGGCTTACTGTGTGTGTGTGTTGTTTAGTGGCTTACTGTGTGTGTGTGTTGTTTAGTGGCTTACTGTGTGTGTGTGTTGTTTAGTGGCTTACTGTGTGTGTGTGTTGTTTAGTGGCTTACTGTGTGTGTGTGTTGTTTAGTGGCTTACTATGTGTGTGTGTTGTTTAGTGGCTTACTGTGTGTGTGTGTTGTTTAGTGGCTTACTATGTGTGTGTGTTGTTTAGTGGCTTACTGTGTGTGTGTTGTTTAGTGGCTTACTGTGTGTGTGTGTTGTTTAGTGGCTTACTGTGTGTGTGTTGTTTAGTGGCTTACTGTGTGTGTGTTGTTTAGTGGCTTACTGTGTGTGTGTGTTGTTTAGTGGCTTACTATGTGTGTGTGTGTTGTTTAGTGGCTTACTGTGTGTGTGTGTTGTTTAGTGGCTTACTGTGTGTGTGTGTTGTTTAGTGGCTTACTATGTGTGTGTGTGTTGTTTAGTGGCTTACTGTGTGTGTGTGTTGTTTAGTGGCTTACTGTGTGTGTGTTGTTTAGTGGCTTACTGTGTGTGTGTTGTTTAGTGGCTTGCTGTGTGTATGTTGTGATTGTGGGGATAGGTGTGTATGTTGTGTGTGTGGGATAGGTGTGTGTATTTTGTGTATGAGAAATAGATATGCATGTTGTTTAGTGGCTTACTGTGTGTATGTTCTGTGTTGTGTGTGAGGGATAGGTGTGTGTATATTCTATGTTGGGGATAGGTGTTTTAGTTGCTTCGTGGTTTAGTGTGAATATGTTGTGTATGTGGAGATAGGCATGTAAATGTCATGTGTTACACCGGTATTTCCCATTTCCCTGTCCATGGCCTCTACTAGTCGCCAGAACACAGTTAAGGAACCTGGGATGTATATCATTAACACACACACAAACTTTATTTTATATAATTTATATTAAGTTCTGCTTTTTGACTGTTAAAAAGTGTGAGGTCTTTGACAGGCCTCAGAACATAAAGGGGGTCAGTCTGTGCTACCCTACTGACAGATACTAGTAACTGTTGTGTAGCTCAAACATAAAATGGTGTCCCCATAAGTTTCCATTCATTGAACAAAATATATCACCAACATCGTTTCAAGCACAACTCCAACTGTGCTTATATTATAGATACATGTTTTTTAGCACTGGAGGACACACATCAAAATGTGTTTTTAAAACATTGGTAGTTATGTAAAGCATATCATATACATAAAATTGTTTTCGTAATCAATTGTTTTTCTTATAAATGGACTCTTATGGGACACCCTTCACATTGGACATGTTTTCTCTACTCAACAGATTTACTTGTATCAAAAGCATGCATATTTTTTACTGATCACAGCAGACTAATGTGTAAAATTTGAATTCTTCTTCCTCTGTTTACGTATGTGTGTATGTTATAACTGTTTTATGTTTAATGTCTGCATTGATTGTTATCTGCATGCCTTATTGTATGTATTTGCATTGTGTTATTGAACAGCCACGGACGACGATCTCGTATGAAGAGGTTAACGGACGCACGTTTCCTCCAGGTTATAAGCAGGCACCGTTTCCTAGCTCACGTGGCCAGTCCAGTGTAGGCAACCTCAACCCTTACCCATGGTATGTGGGCAATTGATGTAAATCTAGATTCTTTTATTAAATTTCTGCGTCACTGAATGGAGAACAGTTTTATTTTCAAAGGGTCACACATTTTATGCACAGGTCTGTCTTGCATTTGGCCCTTCCACATTAATCTTTCATTCGTCACAGCATTTGTTGTGTCATGAGTCGTGGTATGTGAACAAGTGGAGTACTAGTGACTGCCATAAGTAGCATTTCTGTGTCTGTAAATGGATGGCCTTGTTATGTGAGTAAGTGATGCACATTTTATCTGAATAGAATTGTTGCTTCTGGAGGGCCATGGTATGTGAGAGAGTGATGCACAAGTAGTTTCCTTTGGTAGAATTTCTGTGTCTGTGAATGGAGGGCCATGGAATGTGAGAGAGTGATGCACAAATAGTTTCCTTTGGTAGAATTTCTGTGTCTGTGAATGGAGGGCTATGGTATGTGAGCAAGTGATGCACAAGTAGTTTCCTTTGGTAGAATTTCTAAGTGATGCACAAGTAGTTTCCTTTGGTAGAATTTCTGTGACTGTGAATGGAGGGCTATGGTATGTGAGCAAGTGTTGCACAAGTAGTTTCCTTTGGTAGAATTTCTGTGTCTGTGAATGGAAGGCTATGGTATGTGAGAGAGTGATGCACAAGTAGTTTCCTTTGGTAGAATTTCTGCCTCTGTGAATGGAGGGCTATGGTATGTGAGAGAGTGATGCACAAGTAGTTTCCTTTGGTAGAATTTCTGCCTCTGTGAATGGAGGGCTATGGTATGTGAGCAAGTGTTGCACAAGTAGTTTCCTTTGGTAGAATTTCTGTGTCTGTGAATGGAGGGCCATGGTATGTGAGAGAGTGATGCACAAGTAGTTTCCTTTGGTAGAATTTCTGCCTCTGTGAATGGAGGGCTATGGTATGTGAGCAAGTGTTGCACAAGTAGTTTCCTTTGGTAGAATTTCTGTGTCTGTGAATGGAGGGCTATGGTATGTGAGAAAGTGATGCACAAGTAGTTTCCTTTGGTAGAATTTCTGTGTCTGTGAATAGAGGAGGGCCATGGTATGTGAGAGAGTGATGCACAAGTAGTTTCCTTTGGTAGAATTTCTGTGTCTGTGAATGGAGGGCTATGGTATGTGAGAAAGTGATGCACAAGTAGTTTCCTTTGGTAGAATTTCTGTGTCTGTGAATAGAGGAGGGCCATGGTAAGTGATTGTACTAGATCTCATCTCATCTCATCTTGATCCTTTTGTACCTTGTGGTGTTGAGGTGAAGTACAGTTTATGGGAAAGAGCCTGTATGCTTCATAAACTAGGATTCTTTCTGTCTATGGCTCGCATGGTTGGCCTCTTCTTTGCTTCCTGCATGGTCTGTACTTCATGGCTTGCTGTGGTATACTGTCTGCTGACATCCGTGTTACATGGCCAAACCATTTCACCTGTTGTCTTCTAATGAAATCCAGAGCTGC